TTGACTATTATGAAAAATTTCGACAACCAGTTTTACTGGTAGAATGCGAACGAGGATCACACCGTAAATCAAATGGTTTCAGTTCTACTATTAGTAGTAGAATGTCAAATAGAATTAATGTGTTGAATACGGCAGAAAAACACTTTCAAATGAAAAATAGTATAAAGTCGGCTATAGTTTCTCCCCGTTTTCTTCTCAAAAGCTCGTATGTGTAAATATCATGTAAACATTCTCTATATGTTTCAATAGAAATTTTGCTTTTACATTTTTTTATTATTTAGTTAACAGTCTAAACCGAGTTACATACAGTAGACTGTTATGCGTTTGGCAAATAGATAATAAACGTTCTTGCCTTTGGAAAAGAAAATGTAGATCTTTTTTTAAATATGTTTCTTTTACAACATAAACAGCACTTATTATCGTTTTCGGATTTGCCATGGTAGAAAACTTGAACGTGTTCTTCTTTCATTCATACTCACTTTCTACAGCTTTTTTTTCTTATTTTGTGTCAAAGTCAATTTTTTATAAGTAAAAACCAACGACAGACATAAAAGACATTTGATACTTTTTAACAAATAACAAAAAAATATTACTTTCTTTCTTCTTTTTGTAGACATACGTGTAGTTGGAGCGGAATCAACTCAACAATCACTTTTATTCTTAGTGTTTATCAATGGCTCCCCATTCTAAGTGTTGTACTGCTTTTCTGCACATGATGTCTTTATTATAGTGTTGCCACACAAAGATATTCAACATTTAACGACTCTCGTGCAAGCCCTAATTAATCGAATTATTCAGGGGTGCAGACAATATTATATGACGTTAAATATACTGCCCTCCGTCTGCCCTAGTTTTCACGGAAAAATAGGTCAAAATGTGTAAAAACTACGAAAAGACGCGGTTTTAGACAAGTATTTTGGATATAGCACCTTAGAGAGGCCGAGACGCAGTTCAAAACACATGCAGTTCTACTCAGTTTTGAATGAGGAATTGAAATATGATTAGAAGAAAAAATTTGGAGGAAGTATTTTTTTCCAAACTACCGCATTTTTTCGCATTTTAACCTGTTTTTCCGTGAAAACCACATTTTTTTCAACTTCTCGACATACCATCTGAAAGCTGGCGTTGCGGCAGTTCCAAAACACTAACTTTGAAGGTTATAAGTCGATTGGCTGAGACCAGGGAAGGCCGGAAACCGTGGTGACCAATTTTGACCATTTGCCAGTACTTCAGTGACCTGCCATAAGACTTACACAAAAGTACACATGGTGGCTGTTCTGTTGGCATGATCCATTTTGGATTGTCACCTTCACTAATTGTGTAATAATAAACTTTACGATCAAGAAAGTAATCAATAAATCGAGCTCGATCCTCAACTATATCATTGCGTTCATGTCCCTCAAAATATGGTCCCTGTGAATTCTTGTCAGATTTCGCTCCCCAACGTCTCAGGTCCAATCGGCAAGAAGAAATTGAACGGATCAGACCATTATCAGCACTTTTTGTAATGTTTGAAACTTCATAAAATTTCTGACCGACAAAATTTGCCAAGTCAGAAGCACTAAAAAAAATCAGCATTTTTTTGGGAACAGCGATTGAGAGTAAAGAGTTTCGCTTCAATTTCGATGTCAGGAAAATAATCATAAAAATCACCAAACTGTTTGTTGCCTCGATTTTCGCTGTTAAACTCTTCAAAATCACCTGAAATGAAAAATTCCGTCCATTTATGGGCGGTTTCAGTTGTAAAGGCACCGACTTCCGTCATGAAGGCATTACAATCTCTCCATCTAATGCCAAGATGACGGAGTGTCATATAAAGCAGGCAACTTAGCTGTTTTAGACCACATTTCGCCTTACATAATTCGAAGACGTCCATAAGACCGTTCAGAATAATTTTGTCTCCGAAATTGATCGGCTCAGTATCAGGTTTAGCTTTAACGCCCATTTGTCCTTGTTCATCTTCTGATGATTCCTTACTTTCATCGTTCAGACTTTGACCGGACAAACGTATCTGATTAATAACTGACAGCTGTGCTTGACGTCTGAATTTTGGACCCATAGGAAGCAGCCGATTATATCTGTACTAGTGATTAAAGAATCTAAGAGAACGATGTCAATCGGCTTCTGATCGAAAATCGTGAATGCACTGAAAACGAGAAAACAAAGAACACTCTGTGAAGATACACTCTTCTCGTCCGTCTCTCAATAGCATAAAAAAGGAACGGATCTCGTAAAGAATAAAATTTTCGATAGTTTCAGTTTAGAATACTATAACGGAATATTCTTTCGCTTGTATTCTGACAGAATAAAGCTTATATCAAATAAAACACAAAAAACATGCCAAAAAAAATTACTACTGATAACATCGAGTCGATAACACAACTTCAATTGTTGTACAGAATATAGATATAGAACGGTGAATTCAGTTTTGCAGTTTACTACAAAGCTAAGTTCACATGTTCGAACCTCTATTCGTACAAAAATTGATTTTGTGTTTTTCGATAGTTTTAGTTTAGAATACTATAATGGAATATTCTTCCGCTTGTATTCTGACAGAATAAAGCTTATATCTCTCCATTTCTCCGTCGATGTACGACAATTTCTGGATAATCTGGATAATCACTTTTCGAACAGATGGTTTGGAAGAGATGGTCGAATTCGATGGGGTCCAGGTTCATCAGATTTAACATCTTTCCATCACTACTGTGAGAGTACTAATAGCTGCCTTAATCCTCTTACCTCAAGGCTATCGGAACTATATTACCAGCATGGCAACAGCACGTTTTGGTCACACTGCAACCCTGCTAAACTCGGGTCAAGTTCTGGTTATTGGTGGTCGATTAGCGAACTCTTTTCCTGCTCCTACTTCTGAATTATATTATCCGTCAACTGGCCAATGGAACCCAACTACAAGCATGGCAACAGCACGTTCTTTTCATACTGCAACTTTCCTCAATTCGGGCCAAGTTCGGATTACTGGTGAGCCGATGTCAATCGTCTGAAGTTAGTGAGAGCCAGTAACTGTATACAATATAATATATAATATATAATATATATATGAAAAGTCTCTATCTCTCGACCGAAATGTTTTGTAGATTCAAAATGTTCCCATTCTGACGTACATCCCTTATTGTATGTAAAATCTATCAAACTCAGCTTACAGAAAACACTTTTCTATAAGCTTGTAAGAGAGTCTTTCAAAAAAATCATTCTAAACATGAATTTCATTTATACAAAGTCATGTTTCATCTGCAGCAGGCACAAAAAATGTAATCTATCTATAGTTAAAAACAGACGTTCTGTTCGAGATCTCGAGAGCGCTGATGTTTTTACACATACCATAGGCGTTTGCTCTTTTTCTTGAGAGACCCTGTGAGATAGAGGTGAGATAAAAGATTTTTCTTCATTATAATCCAAATGCGTTTTTTCGATGATGACAGTTATTACAAACGGATCCAACATTAACAGACATTATTTAAAGGAGATATAAGTTTCCAATATAATCTAGTTTAAAATTACATAAGACAGATACTAAATAAATTAACGATACTCACTGCCGAAACAATGTGCTACGAAGGAAAGGGAATGTTAAAATAGTCTACACATCATTGATGGAGCAAATATGGGGTCCAGTCATTTTATATTTTAACTGTTTCGTTCATTTTTCAAGCATACAGAATGTACTCTGTTGCCACCGATTCATTTACCGGACATCTTGTGAAAACAAGTTCTTTTCTAACCTCTATTTCAAACAATGTTTCAGCATTTTTATTCATTTTTGACGAGACTGCTACCGATGTCAATCGTTTTGAAATGAGTAGCCATCTGAAGTTAGTAGATATAGCGAGTAACACTTCCAACCATATCTGATAACTAAATACATAAGATCATAAGCTGATAGCTGAAATTCATGTGTTCTATTAGTTTAATCTATATTTATTAGTTAGCTGAAACAAGCATTACAGATAGTCAGGAATCGCAAAGCATTGTACTTGGCTATCTGAAGAAACGCAACATAGACAAATGGGATAACAACAAAATAAAAACTATCGTTTTATGTTTTATATATCAGATGTCGACGAACTTGTTTGTACACCAAACAGTAACATATCTTTAAGATATCTTGTAATACTGATATTAGCCTGCAGTTATTAAGCAATTGAGTGCTTTTTCCTTTGAAAAGTACTTGTACATTGATTAGTTTCCAGTGCCTTGGATAGACAGCTCATTTAAAGATTCATTCAATAATTTTGTGATAGGTGAAGTAATCTCTACGGCTAATTCCTTTCGCATTCTATCGCTAATGCCGGGCAGACCAACCTTACGGACATTAAGCTTCGAAAGCGCCTTAAAAACATCAGTTGTAGTAAAGAAAACTGCGTCCAGCTTTACTTTTCTTGAAAAGTTGCTTTTTTTTATTATGTTAATGTTATGTTTCAAACATAACATTTATTATTATAATAATAAATGTTAAAATAATATTTAAATCTGACGATAATCAAGATGATGACATTTTAGAAGCAGAGATGTTTGACGTTGTATCTATAACTTGTTTTCTTTATTCATTCTTTGTTTTCAGAACAAATAAAAATAATTAGATTCATAAGTTATGTTCACGGAAAGAAACCTGCGCATTGTAATAAAGTTGTTGTGGACATTCTGTCTCATCATTTTCTTTGAAGAATAGTGGATTGAAAACAAGTATTAATCCTCATAGACATTTTGAAATACCTTAATGCTATTATGTTCTCTGATCACTTATCAAATATATGATTTATGTAGTTTACTTTATTCAGTTATACAACAAGTGTTCAATGCAAAACGGTTCTTAATATTTGATGGAATTCTAATCTATATTAGTAATATAAAATTCTACCATCTTCTTTTAAATTTTCTTATATAACAGCATTGAAGATGATACCCACACCCATTTTTTTATATGTGCGAACTACAGTAGTATTTATATTTGAAACGGCCAGATAAAGTTTTTACTGCTAAGAAGGAGTGGAATCAATGGTAATTAAAATACAGAGCCAAAAAGGAAATCATTTTTAAAAACGAGAGGAAGTTCAAGCCGTTGCTGATCGATCGTGTATTTTTTCATTGTTAAAAGAACAAATTTTAATTCTGTATTATTCAATTTAGATTATCATTACCATCTGAATCAAGAATCTCTTGAACAGAAAAGTGTTCTGTTGAAATGTGGAAGTGGAGGAGAAAGGAAGTGATAGCAAACGACAACATTATTTTTTTCTTGTCTCTCACCGAGGTAACAGATGAGAATAAAAATCCGCAAAGTGTAAGCGTGACCGTAGTCCGTTTTCTTTTTTGCTACTGTATCACAAATCAGAATGCGAAAAGATCAGATAGTTGGAGAATATAGTAGTGAATGAGTGCTTGACAATGCGTCATTTATAATGTCTGCGCATGTGCTGCTAAAGTTTATTGGTCGATCGAGCAGAAATACAGTTTAGGAACTCTTTAAAATATGCATACGATCTCTACATTCTATTCACTAATGAAACTGACACTTGTTTTTGCAGTTTAGTACATAGCAAAATCGAAGCGAAATATATCTGGAACAGAAAACAAAAAGTTTCAACTTGGGCATCTTCTCTATGGTTTAGATAGTACCCAGGCCCATGATTCCGAAGACAAGTTCCTAAAAGATTGACAGAATCCAACGTCGGAACATGCCGGAATCAGATAAAATCTGGCACAATCCTGCCAGAACCATGCCGTATTATGTCGGAATCCGGGCCGGTGTTGTTTGCAAACCTATTAATGAGGTATGCCTTCTTATACAACAAGTAGAGCCATCAAATGACTGCTTTAGTTTCAAGCTTAGAGTTCAAATTTCAAAATTCAAAATTCTTCCACAACCGATTATGATTACGAAACGTTTTAAATATAGACTTGATAGAGCTTTTCAAGGGCTATCAAATGGCCATCTTCTTGTTTTTTGTTTCACAAAGTATGAAGGACTAAAATTGAAAAAATTGTTTTTTGAGTTGCAAAGTAATCGAGATCGAAGCTTCGCA